CGGAGGGAAAGAGGAAAAATCATAGAGCAATCGACATTCAACAGAATGACCTCATGATTGACCCGACGAGGAAGAATGGCGAGTAAAGGAAAATCCACAGCAATTAACTTCGTAGGAGACTTTTCTCATTCCACCAGTTGAACCTTGTACCCCCACTGCAGCTTGGCCTAGCGGCGTCGAACCATTGGCCTCGTCGCAAGTCGTAGTATGACCCATAGCTGCGGCCACTTCTGCCTCGGTGGGTGGGGCAATACCGTATCTCTGCCAATGTATTTAATTCGATGAGAGGAACGATGGCGAACCACTCAAATCTTCCTCGCGAGCAGCAGCTACATTAACGGTGCGGCTGGAGGTTCCTACAGGCAATAATTTGAAACTCCAATGTCGGGGCTGGTGCGGTGTTGCATTTGCAGGTCGAGGGCCGAGATTTGTGGAACTAAAAAAACTGCGCCAATGAACGCGAGATGATGTGCTTGCACTTGGAGCTGGGCGATGAGGTGTGCGGTCTGTGTCATCGCCCCAAAAGTCGTCACCCTATATCAGTGTCAGACGAGAGAGAGGTTAAGAACAAGAAACTGTACTGACATATCTTGCCAAACCTCTCTTTCTGGCCTGCTGTGTAGCGACCAGACGGGCGTTCAGAATCTAATAGAATAAATGAGCGAGGGATGTCGTTGTTCGTAATTGACTATCGCACGTCTCTTGATTGAGCAGTACGTCCCTATCGGAAAGGTGAGATACTGTATGGAACAGAAGCAGAGATTACTCGCCTTGAGCTTCGCACCCGGTTTTGCATCGCCATCCGCACTCTAAACAACGACCAAACTGTAGTAAAGATGTTGAAACATAATGCGCATGCGCACCTCAACTTGATCTCCACCATGATGTTCGAGGGTTGCTTCCAGGCTCCATACATAGATTCTTGCTTCAACTCCAGCACTAGCAATGTATTTTCCATCGGGGAACATGATCACATCGAAGAGTTCATCGTCATGCAAGAGGGAATCTCCGACTTCCTGATTCGTCTCAAGATCCCAGGTGCGAATGGAGCAGTTGATGCACTAACGACATGGCTTTCATTGGGGGTAAGACAGAAAGAGTTGATGCTGTGAGTGTGACCCCGAAGAACGGCGAGCTGCTTCCCATCAATGGACTGCCATATTCGGATGGTGTTATCGACTGATGCAGAGAATATATGTACGCCGTCCTTGGACCAATGCAACGATGTCACCGAGTGTTCATGTCCCTTGATGAGGGTGAGAAGTTTGCCGTCCCTTGACCACACGCGGATAATTTCGTCCACTCTCCACCGACTGCGAAATCGACTGTGTATACTCATGTCTCATTGGAGCAACGATGGCTCTCTAGCAAATTCTAAGCATCAAGTATTGATGAGTAGTCATAATCTGAAAATTATGAGACAATGGCATAGAGTCATCTTGACAAAATAAAATACCGAACGTTCATGGCATGTTGAGCTGCATGTGAGACAGTCCTAAATGCACACGAAAGGGAAGAGAACATCATCGAACAATAGAGAGTTTTAGCAGATGACCTCATGGCTGATGTGTGCTGCGTGCTTGTCAAATGGTTGCTGGAGGCTCGAATTCAGAGCGAGTATTATACTTGACAACTCAGAGTCCTCTTTGTCAGGTTCCTTTCTGTCAATAAAATTCCATTCTCCGTGTGATGCGGCTTGACCTCGAGCGGACACCTAGATATCGTGTGTTGATAAACATTCGCGATATGTTGTGTTGTAATTTGTCTTGTGTCGACAGGTTCATTTGGGTTCGCTGGTAGTGGGAACAGATCAAAGACATCGGCGATGCAACAGATGAGATGATAACAGAGCATGATCTGAAGGTATGATACACACCATACGATGTACATCGGACGGCACGAGCTGTGTGTAAGTAAGATCCCAGATGTGTAAGGGAAGAGACGAAATTATCGAATGACAGGCTGACGCGAGGTAGAGCGACGACGACCAAAGAAAAATCCACAGCAACTAACCTCACAGGAAACTTCTCCGGCCTCACCACTTGAGCCTTGTGTTGCCGTTGGCCGTCCTTCAGATCCTTGTATCCTTGCTGCAGGTTGAACAGGTTGCGTGGAACTATTAGTCTCATTGCCGTTCATTACTGATTGGCGCACATCTCTCGGTCGGCTTGGACGTCTCTAGTAAAAAGGTAAGAACGAGTAGGAAAAAGACACGAAACTGACATGCCTTGGACAACATGTTGGGCTTCGCATTAGTATCATCCGCACCCTGAACAACAACCAAACCCTTAGAAAATAGAAAAGATATCGAAACACAATGCAGACACGCACACCCTGTTGTTTGAGCGCTGCCTCCACACTCCATATATAAATTCTTGCGTCTTTTCCAGCACTGGCAATGGATTTTCCATCGGGGGATATGACAGCAGTCAAGAGTTCGTCGTCATGCAAGAGTGGGTCTCCTACTTGCTGATTCGTCTTGAGATCCCAGATGCGAACGGAGTAGTCCCTTGCCGCGCTAACAAGATGGCTTTCATTATGGGACAGACAGAGGGATCTAACAGCGTTGGTGTGACCCCGATAAACGACGAGCTCCTCCCTGTCAATCAAGCGCCATTTTCGGACAGTGTGATCAAATGATGAGGAGAAGATGTATGCGCCATCCTTGGACCAACATAACGACGTCACCATGTCTTCATGTCCCTTGATCTTCATAAGCAGCTGCCCATCCTTTGACCACACACCGATCGTCTTGTCCACTCCGCCACTCATAAATTTGTCACATTGCGGAGAGTATTTGACAGCATTCACCCAGCCGTGACCGGTCTCTATCGGTGGTGCTATTTGTCGCCCAGTGTCCGGGTTCCAGCGTCGTATGGTGCCGTCGGTCGATCCACTTGCTATCTCCAGGGCATTGGGACACCAATCGAGGCACCTCACTTGACCATTGTGGCCCTCCCACGGATCGCCAACTACACCGCCCTTCTTGATGTTCCACAGCCGTAGTCTGCCGTCTGGACTTCCGCTCACAAACATTGTTTCATCCGGCGATACTGCCATTGGGCCTACCTGTGCCCCATGGCTATCCAAAGGCTTTCCCACTGGCTCTCCGTCCCATTGCCACTGGCGAATTGAACAGTCTTCTGACGCGCTCAGTATATTGCAACTGGTGCCTACACAGACAAGACTCCATATGCAATCAGAGTGACCTTCGATGATGCACTCCGGAGTCAAGCTCCCTGCTGGACGTTCTGGTGTTGGTTTCCTCCATGACGTGGTCCGGGTGTTATGATTGACAAAGTAGGACCGACCAAGTGGTGAGATGTGCCATTCGCATCCAGCAGCAGCAATTTGTCCAAGTGCATCTATGCTTCGTCATGAGTCCCTCGCTCCTAGTGACAATTTCTTCGCCCACCTAGTCGTACACCTGGTAAAGGTCGGGTCGATGAAGATATGATCAATGTGTCATCTTGATATTGTGTTCTACCATCCGACACGGTATACTGTTGCCATTGAGGAGGGAGTACCTCGTTCCCGCCTGCTTCTTGTTGAGTAAGTCAGTGGGTATCCCGATACGGTCCACTCACCTTCCCAAAGAGCATCCTGGCGATGTTGTGCACCATATGGTGGTGGATCCTTCTCTCCCGCTAGAGGTCTCATATGTGCCGATGAGTCCAACAGCACTTCTCTTCCCCCAGCTGATGTGCTTGACTCAGCTTCTTCACGGGACATGGCCCTGATTGAGGAGGGACAGTGTTTCTCAAATGGGTAGACAATAAGCCTTCAGGTAACGTGCAAAATATAAGAGTTGATGATAAGGGGGTGATGAGCGGACCTGGTAGACGCCTGGATTTGATTGATGCCGTGGTTGCTGGCAACCTTGGTAGTGAGGTGACTTCTGTTCAAATTTCGATGCGCCTCGGTTTGTTCCGTCTTACATATGACCAGTGATAGTCAAATTGGAATGAAATCAAATGAACATGCAAATGCGGTCACACGCCCAGTTGGCGCTTCTGCAAGATGTGACCAAAGTAGAGAGGAATACGCGGTATGTATACATACAATAGTAATGTCACATTGAACGCCCAAGTCAAGTCATCCATACATGGATGACCACCCGAGTTAACGATCAATGTCCTCAAGGGTGTCGACACTCCCCAAGCGTACCTAGCGTCCAGTTCTGCACCCTTTTGTCACGGCACCACAACTCAGGCCGCCCACTCTCCCGGATTGCGTTCCCCTAGAACATCAAGTTCCCCGCGAAGAAGAACTTGCACACCACCAAGAGAGGGGTGCCAAAAAGTAGAGCCAACTTCTCCGAAGGTGGCTTCAACACGTGAATGTGAAGAAATTGGCGAAGGGAGAGGGAGGTGCATGAAAAGAAAGGGAATGCTGGACCCGAGTGCACGGGTGAAGGTCGCGGTGGTAAATTTTGATCCTGAAAGGAGGAGCGCTATTGTACCCAGTTCAAAAACGTGTATGGAGGATTCGGAAGGGGAGCGAAATTGAGCACTTGAGCGAGCATGTGCCTGGTGCCATAGGCTACGCCTTCCATGATTTGGCTAGAATTTCTTCTGTCTGCTTTACATTGTGCAAGGACACGTATGCGTCTACAGGGAGGTGTGATTGGGGTAGACTGGGAATATAGGCTGAGCGGGAGCAAGCCCAGTGAGTTGACGCCGCCATCAGATATGCTACCGGAGCATTTGAGAAACATCCTTGAAGAGGTTGGAGTGACCATTGCTCGGATGCTGTTCAATGCGTGACTGTAGCTCTGCATAATACTTCAATTAGTGTGAACGACGTTTGTCAAATCGTGTTCCTTCGTCGAATCGTCTAAGGTATTAAGAGTCTAAGAACTAGCTCGGTCCGGGAAAACCCGATCTATTTCCTGCTTCAACCTGTTCCTCCATTTTAGAACATCGACATGTCTCTCTTTGTACATATCCCGTTACTAGCTACCAACCCACCGGATTGGTAGTGTCATCTTTGGCCTCGCCATGAAATACCTCACGTTGGGAACACTCTTCACGATCTTTGGTGGAAAGGATTTCGCACCTCCAGGCAAACCTCTTGCAGAGCGTGTAAAGGTGGCCATGCTGGGCCCAGATGCGCTTATTCTTTCTGCAGACACAGACAGGCCGTGTGGTGTTTGCTTCTGGAATCTACGGTGAAGAATAAGAATTATATGTGTTCTATCAGCATCAATTGACTTGTGGACTGACCAGGATGAACAGTATCAGGAACTTTATGGCGCAGGCGGAGAAGTAGGATGGGGCAGTGTATCGACATACCAGTACAATGACTCCCGATGACTGTAGGGAAATTTGCACTGACCCTTCCTGGGAAGTGTGTCCTAGTTTTTACCCACTTAAATGTGTCAACACATCTGACCTCATACACACAATTGCCTTCGCTGAGAGTATACAGTTCGAGCTGACGCCTGGCTGCTGTTGAAGGATTAACAGACATTATCTAGCTTCCCAAGAACCAAAAACGCGCCTATCCAGTACCGGTTCCTCACACAGTTCCTCGCTTCTGCTTCTTTACTCATGGTATCATCAAATACAAATCCACCAATGACGTGCTCAACATGCCCATACTGCTTGCCAACTGCTCACGCACAAGAAGTTGACTGGAGGATGAAAACGAGCATATAGTGTATGCCGGGAGGGACATAATGAACTCTTTGTGCCAGCTGCACATCTTGGTCCTGAGCCTTGGGCCTACCGGTGTTTTGTATTCCGTGTTTTTGTGTTACTTTACAATCCAGGTTCCTCTTTGCCAAGCCCCTTTGCGTCAACAGCACTGTATCCTCCGTGTGTTACAGCCTCCCTTGAGTAAACTTCAAAAGTGGATGTCCAAAGCTGTACTATGTATTATTTGACATTCGCGATATGTCATGTTGGGATTTGTATTGTCGACAGGAATCGATGGAAGTTGAAGCGGACCAGGGAGATCAGCGTTTTGACTATAGAATCTGAACGCCCCCCCTTCGTGATCTAAATAATGATACATAACATGCAGGTGTACACATATAAGACGGCACGAGCTAAGCGAATGAGCGTAAAGCACACGAAACGGAAGAGGCAAAATTATCGAATGACAGAGTTCGAATAAACGACCTTACGACCGATGCGAGGTGGGACGACGACGACCAAAGAAAAATCCACAAC